CATAAAGCAAGTTCTTAATGACCTACAAAGAGACTTAGACTCCCACACAATAATAGTGGGTGACTTTAACACTCCACTGTCAATATTGGACAGAGCAACGAGACAGAAAATTAACAAGGATATCCAGAACTTGAACTCAGATCTGGACCAAGCAGACCTAATAGATATCTATAGAAATCTCCACCCCAAATCCACAGAATATACATTCTTCTCACCATTGCATGGCACCTACCCTAAAATTGACCACATAATTGGAAGTAAATCACTCCTAAGTAAATGCAAAAGAATGGAAATCATAAACAGTCGCTTTAACCACAGTGCAATCAAATTAGAACTCAGAGTTAAGAAAGTAACTCAGAACCACACAACTTAATGGAAACTGAACAATTGGCTCCTGAATGTCGACTGGATAAACAGTGAAATGAAGGCATAAATAAAGATGTTCTTCAAAACCAACAAGAACGAAGACACAACATACCACAATCTCTGGGACACATTTAAAGCAGTGTCTAGAGGGAAATTTGTTGTAATACATGCCCACCAGAGAAGTGAGGAAAGATCTAAAATCAACACTCTATCATCAAAATTGAAAGAGCTAGAGTAGCAAGATCAAAAAGCTAGCAGAAGACAACAAATAACTAAGATCAGAGCAGAACTGAAGGAGATAGAGACACCAAAAAGTCCTTCAAAAAATCAATAAATCCAGGAGCTTTTTTTTTATAAGATCAACAAAATAAAAAGACCACTAGCCAGGTTACTAAAATAGAAGAGGGAGAAGAATCAAATAGATACAATAAAAGACGATTAAGGGGATAGCACCACTGACTCCACAGAAATACAAATTACAATCAGAGATTACTACAAACAACTCTATGCACATAAACCAGTAAACCTGGAAGGAATGGATAAATTCCTGGACACTTGCACCCTCCTAAGCCTAAACCAGGAAGAAGTTGAAACCTTGAACAGACCAACAACAAGGGCTGAAGTTGAGGCAGCAATTAATAGCCTACCAACCAAAAAAAGTCCAGGTCCAGACGGGTTCACAGCCGAATTCTACCAGATGTACAAAGAGAAGCTGGCACTATTCCTTCTGAAACTATTCCAAACAATACAAAAAGAGGGAATCCTTCCCATATCATTTTATGAGACCAACATCATCCTGATAACAAAACCCAGCAGAGACTCAACAAGAAAAGAAAACTTCAGGCCAATATCCATGATGAACATAGATGCAAAAATCTTCAATAAAATACTGGCAAACCAATTGCAACAGCACATCAAAAAGCTTATTCATCACAATCAAGTAGGCTTCATTCCGGGGATGCAAGGTTGGTTCAACATATGCAAGTCTATAAATGTAATCTACCACATAAACAGAACCAAAGACAGAAACCACATGATTATCTCAACAGATGCAGAAAAAGCCTTTGACAAAATTCAGCAGTGCTTTATGCTAAAAACTCTCAATAAACTAGGTACTGAAGTAACATATCTCAGAATAATAAAAGCTATTTACGACAAACCTACAGCCAATATCATACTGAATAGGAAAAAACTGGAAGCATTCCCTTTGAAATCTGGCACTAGACAAGGATGCCCTCTCTTACCACTTCGATATAGTATTGGAAGTCCTAGCCAGAACAACTAGGAAAGAAAAAAAAAGGGTATTCAATTGAGAAAAGAGAAAGTCAAATTGTCTCTACTTGCAGACGACATGATTGCATATTTAAAAGACCCTATCATCACAGCCAAAATTTCCTTAAACTGATAAGCAACTTCAGCAAAGTCTCAGGATACAAAATCAATGTGCAGAAATCACAAGCAATTCTATATACCAATAACAGACTAGCAAAGAGCCAAATCATGAGTGAACTCCCATTCACAATTGCTACAAAGAGAATAAAATACCAAGGAATACAACTAACAAAGGATGTAAAGGACCCATTCAAAGAGAACTACAAACCACTGCTCAAGGAAATAAGAGAGGACACAAACAAATGGGGAAACAGTCCATGCTCATGGTTAGGAAGAATCAATATCATGAAAATGGCCATACTGCCCAAAGTAATTTATAGATTCAATGCTATCCCCATCAAACTACCAAAGACCTTCTTCACAGAACTGGAAAGAAACACATTAAACTTCATATGGAACTAAAAGAGAGCTCACATTGCCAAGACAATCCTAAGCAAAAAGAACAAAGCTGGAGGCATCACGCTACCTGATTTCAAACTATACTACAAACCTACAGTAATCAAAAGAGCATGGTACTGGTACCAAAACTGAGATATAGACCAATGGAACAGAAAAGAGGCCTTGGAGGCAATGCCACACATCTACAACCATCTGATCTTTGACAAACCTGAAAAAAACAAGCAATGGGGAAAGGATTCCGTTTAATAAATGGTGTTGGGAAAACTGGCTAGCAGTGTGCAGAAAGCAGAAACTGGATCCCGTCCTGACACCTTACACTAAAATTAACTCCAGATGGATTAAAGACTTAAACATAAGACATAACACCATAAAAACCCTAGAAGAAAACCTAGGCAAAACCATTCAGGATATAGGCATAGGCAAGGACTTCATGACTAAAACACCAAAAGCACTGGCAACAAAAGCCAAAATAGACAAATAGGACCTAATTAAACTCCAGAACTTCTATACAGCAAAAGAAACAATCATTAGCATGAACTGGCAACCAACAGAATGGGAAAAAATTTTTGCAATCTACCCATCTGACAAAGGGCTAATATCCAGAATCTACAAAGAACTAAAACAGATTTACAAGAAGAAAAAAAAAATTCAAAAGTGGGCAAAGGATGTGAACAGACACTTTTCAAAAGAAGACATATATGAAGCCAACAAACATGAAAAAATGCTGCTCATCAGCACTGATTATTAGAGAAATGCAAATCAAAACCACATTGAGATACCACCTCATGCCAGTTAAAATGGCTATCATTAAAAAATCTGTAGACAACAGATGCTGGAGAGGATGTGGAGAAATAGGAACACTTTTACACTGTTGGTGGGAGTGTAAATTAGTTCAACCACTGTGGAAGACAGCATGGTGATTCCTCAAGGACCTAGAAATAGAAATTCTATTTGACCCAGCAATCCCATTACTGAGCATATATCCAAAGGATTACAAATCATTCTATTATAAAGACACCTACACATGTATGTTCATAGTGGCACTGTTTACAATAGAAAAGTCCTGGAACCAACCAAATGCCCATTGATGATGGACTGGACAAGGAAAATATGGCACATATACACCATGGAATACTATGAAGCCACAAAAAATGATGAGTTCGTGTCCTTTGTAGGGACATGGATAAATCTGGAAACCATCATTCTCAGCAAACTGACACGAGAACAGAAATCAAACACCACATGTTCTCACTCATAGGTGGGTGCTGAACAATGAGAAAACATGGACACAGGGAGGGGAGCATCACAAACTGGGGTGTGCTGGGAGGGGTCAAGGAGGGACAGTGGTGGGGGTGTGGAGCTTGGGAAGGGATAACATGGGGAGAAATGCCAGATGTAGGTGATGGGGGGATGGAGGTAGCAAACCATATTGCCATGTATGTACCTATGCAACAATCCTGCATGATCTGCACATGTACCCCGGAACCTGAAGTACAATTAAAAAAAAAAGAGTCTTGTACTTTCTGCACCACTATTGAGAAGGAAAAACCCAGACTACATGCTGGTTCAGGAAGAATAGGAATGATACACAAAGCAGGGCTTTTTCAGCTACTGCGGCCTATTCAAATTCAATATGGAGTCCCAGCTGATTTGTAGACATATTAACAAACCTAGCAGAGATGTGTTGAATCCAGCCTAAGTCAGCCAATCCTCAGGGAACCCATGGTCATGTGATATATAATAACAGATGTTATCTTAAGCCATTGAGTTTTGGGGTAGATTGTTACACAATAAATCCTAGGTGATAAATTGGCCAATGAAACCCCTTAGCATAATCCAATGACCAAATAGAATACTGCATATGTTTCTAGGATATGTGACAATGCCATCTGTATTAGAAATGACCAGAAACTCTTCAATAATTGTGTGTGGTTTGCATGTATAGCTTGCTTACTTACATGATATGGTCAACAATTCAAGCGTTGGAGTTTTGGATAAACCAGTATCAGCTGGGTACCACAACGCTTCACACAACCAAGAACAAAACCCCAACACACAGCAAGATAAAACTCAACATCATTCATGAATCTTCTCAGTTCCTGTGACTTATTCTTTCAGAATTGTCATTTCTACATCCTTAGACACATATACAACCACTAGAATTTTTGTTTTTTTTAGCTTTAAGTGTTCATTCTGGCTGTGCAATGACAGAATGGACAGGACGAAAATGAGAATTAAGGCAGACCCATGGAAAAACATTATGAAACTACTGGAGGTGTCCAGATGGAGTATCATCTTGGCTTCAACTGGACTACAAAAGGAAATAAGTGAGGAGACTTAATAACTAAAACACTGCCAATAGTAACACTTACCAGGTGCTTGTTTTGTGTCAGGCACTGCACTAGAGCATTATTTATACTTAATAAACAACTTTATGAAATAGGTTCTACTATTTTCTTCATTTTACAAGTTTGGCTGAGCAACCTGCCCATGGTGGCCCAGCTTGTAAGTGGTAGGTTCAAACCCAGGAATTCTACATTTTGAGTCTGGGCTCTCAACTGCTGCAGGATTCTGCCACTACATTATTTAAGAGCTTTGCAGATGGCACAATAAACATGGCTTAGTGGTTGATTAGCCATAGCAAGTAAAGAACATGGAGCTTCAAACAGTTAAAAAGCCAACATGATGTTCTCATTTTTTCAAGGGAAAAGTAAGTGAGTGAGTGAGAGAGAGAGAGAGAGAGAGACTGTGTGTGTGTGTGTGTGTGTGTGTGTGTGTGTGTGTGTGTGTGTGTGTTGTGGGTTAAACAAATAAACTGTTTCAAAACAATTACAGGACCATTATCTGAAATAAGTTGTTCTGAAGTTGTCTACCACAGCTGGGTACTCATTTTAATCCTGGGTAATACGTGAAGGCTATTTGGAATCTGTTTGTCTCTTTGATTGTTCCAGTAAATACAGTAGCCAAGAGAAACAGCAGTTTGCAAGGGGAAACCCTGGGTATTGTTGGCTTCATCTTATTCTTGAAAAAAGATTCTCATTTGATGAGAGCAGCACTTCTTCTCTTTGGAATAGAGATTAATACTGGTTTTTCTGCAAAAGCAAGCAAATATATTTACTTTATGTACAAAAGATGACGGCTGGGATCAGGAAAGCAGTGTCCTCATTCAACTGGATTCCTTAGAACTGTTGGCAATTTTATTTTCCGGAAAGTGTTTTGAAATATCACTTTCTAGACAACCCCTCAGGGTACAGTATACAAGACAGCCTCAGAGTCCTTTATCCATTCTCCGCTCTTGTTTTGAAGATAAGAATTCTTTTTCTTTTTTTTTTGTATTATTTCCTCTCATCTGAGAGGCTGATTCTATTTAATAGGAAGAAGACAACCAGCTGTGGGACAAGGACTGGATCTTGGGGACTTGGGCTTGATTACATGATGGAGGCTACCAAGAAGAGAGAGAGAAAACAGTACACACAGGATATTTGAGAAATAACTGAAAAGATGAAAAACATAAACACTTAGAAAGTTTGCCCCCTAGATATGGAATGAGCACACAGCTAGGTCCATTGTCTAAGTAAAAGGATCAGAAAAGCACAAAGTCAATGATGTTATTTCAAGAGGTGAGGTGGGAACACAGAGGGAAACCCAAGCCTTTCTATAATCTGGTCAGGAATATCCAACTCCTCTGTTACAGGATACCGGCTGCATAATTTTATAAAGACTATGTTAGGAGTGGCCTAGTTTAAGAGAAGCAGTCCAGACAAGCACACACATAGTTTGAATTGTAATCGACTCTTGTCAGTCACAGCATAAGACGCTCTTAGAAACAAGGGTCTTGGTCCATCTTTGGCTTTTCCTAGCTCAGCACCATGGACAGACCCAAGAGGCCATTATGGCTCCACATTTGGTCTCTGCTTTTCCTTAAGATTACGTCTTAAAGCAGAAGACATTGATCATGAGGAATCCTACTCACAGTACAAAAAAAGAGGAAAAATATATAGGCTCAGATATAAGTAGGTTATGAGATCCAAAGAAAAGGAATGCAATCTTGACAGGAGGCTCTGTGACCAAGAGATTAAAAGCCACTGCTTTCTCCCTATCTCTTAGCCGTAGTTATGTGTTGTGATCTTCATAACCTCTCCTACGCAGTTCAGAGTCAAGGTTGCAGTTTGCCTATCACAAGTGTTAATGATACAAGAGTATGCATTTTTAAGCCTTATTTCTGGCTCCATCTTATTGCTCTACTCTTCTATTTTTAAATTAGCTTTGCATCTATTTTGAATTTGGGCTTTTTCCTTTAGTGTTACATATTCTCTGGTGTCATGAGACATCTTTTCTGGGAAATAAGTCATTCAAATATCAAATTAAAACATGAATTAGAACACACATACATGCATATGTTGGATTACATGATCCACATATACATGTTCATTTCTCTCATAAGACTCCCCCTTACACAAAAACAAAACTGAGAGCACATCATGAGAAACATGAAAAAGAGGCAATACATAAAGTGTGTGGGTAATGGAGTTAGTAGGTTATTTTGCTGTTACTGTGGGGATTGGGCACATTTCAAGACTGCCAAATATGGAAGTTGTGGTTTGCAAAGATTACTGCAAAAATAAGTTATACCTCATAGGACCCTAAGCAATGTAACTTTGTCACTTGTCTTACCAAGAGCTTGGGTTTGTTTCCCAATGCCTGGGGTTTGGGTTGGCTCAGTAACTTGCTTTGACCACTAGAAAAAGGTCAAAGTGATATTATGTAAGTTTTGGAGTCTAAATTTCAAAGGGTCTTGTGGTATAGGCCTTCACTCTCTTGAAATGCTTCTCTGAGACCACCACATAAGGAAATAGACACAGCTTAATGAAGAATGAAAAGCCATAGAGAAATAAGCTAAGCACCCCATAGAGCAGCCAGTCAGCTGCAGTTCATGTAGCAAGTTGGTGCCAGAAGCTAGTCTAGAAATTGGATCTCAGGTCCTTAAACAGTGGGTTCAGCACTGCAACTCTCTTCTGCAGAAGAGGACTGCTGCTGTGAGCTCAGAACTCTGTGATACAGTAGGAAATAGACCACAATAAGTGCTAAATGATGGAGCTCTAGTCCCAGCCCTGTCAACAACTTGCTCTGTATTTATAAGTAAGTAAAATGACCTCTCTGGGCCTTCATCCCTTCATCTGTATGATGAGCAGGTTGGAGAAGCAAAGCTCCAAGGCCCCTTTAAGTCCTAAGAGTCTCTGATTGTGTGACTCTAACTCATGCCTTCCCAAGCTCTTTATCACAGTAGGAGCCCAGGGATTTTACCACGACAGGCTGGAAGACAGCGAGGGGGAGGCAGGGGGTTGTGTTTCATTCTGTCATCTCCCCTTCTTCTAAAGGGTAACATTGTCACTCACAGCTTATCTTGCTGTGAACTTTCCTTAATGGTTTAGTTGGATTCAGGCTCGGATTAATCATCCTGGATAACAGGCAACATGACAAACTCATCACTAATTAATTGGCAGCAAAACAAGATACCACGCTCCCTGGTGCAGAAGGTCTGTTTTGAAATCAGCTTCCATCCTCCTGGGTCTTAACAGTGTGCCATCTTCTTCTATATGTGCTCACCTTGGCTAAAAGCATAGGTGAATGCCCACCATGGGGAAAAAAAATCACAAGAAGACCCAGTTCAGGAAAGTGTGACTCTGTTTCCATCTTCATTCCCAAAACCAACACAGTACCTAAGGGAGAAGTTCTATTTTGGCTATCTTCCATAAAAGAAAATGTTTGCCCTTTCTTAGTGTTAAACAAAAAAATCAGTATTATTGCTACGTGTACAATACCATAGAAATAAAGATTAAGTAATACTACAAATGGGCTATAAATTTTTCTTTTGGATGGAATTTATTGTCAAAGAGATTTATTCATCTTCAACTATGCACATACCATACCACCTATGTTCAATGCTGAATCTCCAGGGCATAGAACAGTTAATGTTTGTTGAATGAATGAATCAACAAACCTCTTTTCTAAAACAACTACACTTTTTCTTTCATCCCACTAATGATGTATTAGTCAGGATTATCCAAATATAAAAAAGTATAAACATAATTCAAACTAGCTTAGACAAAAGAGAGAATTTGGGGATCATGTGTCTGAAAAGAAATTTAGAGTTGCTCACAGTGAGCAAAGAAAAAGATGTGAGAGTGTGGGGCTTGCAGATTCATTCTGAAGCTCAATGCTCCCAGAAATCCACCATAAGTTACATAAGAACATATCCTTCTGCCATAGAATAGTACCACTGGTGCCTCACACTCAGAAGTCCAAAATGGAACACATTATTGTCTCCTAAAGCTCCTCTTCCATCCACACTCTTCTCTGTGAATGGACTTGTATTTACCCATTAGTGAAGAGGCTTCAACAGAATTCATACTGCTCTCTTACTCTCAGGTGAAAACACTTCTATTTATTATACCCACCAAGTAGTTCTAGGCCTCCATTTATCTTCATTTTTGCCAAGAACATCTTAGTGAAAGTGACTATCACTGCTCAGCTGAATTTCTACAACACTCTCCTAGGTGGTCCCTGCAATTCCAGTTCTGCTTTCTGCAATCCAGGCTACATTCTATTTCCAAAACCTGATGATGCTATTCCTTTGCATAAAACTCCGCACAAATAAAAAATCCTGCAAGGTCTGACTCCCACTTTTCCTTCCAGCAACATTCCTTGATCTCTTCCCCTCACACTCTTTATTTTAGCCATGTAGTCCACTTACCATTCTTTGAATCCTATTATGCTCACAGATGCATCTGAATGTTTCAACATCTATTCTCTCCATCTAAAAATTCCTTGCCACTGCTCTTTGCCTGATTAACTCCTTCTAGTTCTTCTACTTGTTCAACCTAGTTGTTCTCCCTCTGGGAGAATATTACCATGATCACCTTAGCCACTCAGATATAAGCTTCAGCTCAGATTCCCACATAAGCTACATATGAACATATCTTGCTGCCGTGAAATAGTTCCACTGGTGCCTCACACTCAGAAGTCTAAAACTGAACCCATTATCTTCTTCCAAATCTCTTCCATCCACACTCTTCTCAATGAATGAATCTGTATGCCTTCCCTTCCTTCCACATTTGATTGAGTTCTTATGTCATATTGTAGATCATATTATTAATCTTATTTTAGAACCAAGTTACAGTGTTATAAATGATGTGCTTATATTTTCCTTTTTCTGTTGGGAGTTCCTTAATGATAGGAGTAGTGTTTGGTGTCTGTTGTGGATACTTAATCAATGTTTGTTTAATGAGTGAATCCAAAGAGCTAATAAGTAAAAAAGAAATATCAAAAATACACAATTATATATTCAGACTCCATTTGCATGGTGGCCATAATTCATCCAGCTTAGTTCTTAATAAAAAATAAGAATTAGAAAGAAGGACAAAAACAAAACATTTTCCGTGGCTTCACCTCATTTACTGGGAGCCTGTGTGTAAGGTCACAAGAAGTATCATTTTTATGGCTTTACATATGAAGTCAAGAAGTTTGTCTGGGCTTATGTTAACTTCATTTCCTTTTCTATCCCATCTATCAATGTCTGCTGTCCCAGGATACTTTGGATCTGCAAATGAAAATTTCTTTTATCAATAATTATCCTTTAGTGATAAACAAACACACATCAAATCTCTCAGATAAATTTTGCAGATGTGTTTCTTCTTGTTACTTTTTTCCCTGATATAGGTTTAATGTTTTTTCTAATCACTGTGGAATAAACAAACTGGCTGTTATATTTTGCCCAGACAAGTGGTTCTGCATGCCTATTTTATCTGGGCTCTTGACTGTAATGTTAACACTGATGTGAATAAATTTAATGACAAAGAAAATCTTTAGCTGCAATGGTTACTAAAAAATAGGATATTAAATTGTAAGTGGAGGCTTCTGGTTTAAAGCTGTGAACCCCCAAATATCTGAGACAGGTCTCAGTCCATTTCGAAGGTTTATTTTGCCAGAGTCAAGGATGCTGACTGTCACTCAGCCTCAGGATGTCCTGCTGACATGTGCCAAACGTAGTGGGGGCACAACTTGGTTTTATACATTTTAGGGAGACATGACATGTCAGTTAATATATGTAAGCTGAATGTTGGGTTCCATCCAAAGGCAAGACCACTCAAGCAGGGAGGGGGCTTCCAGGTCACAGGTAGATTAGAGACAAACAGTTGTATTGTTTTGAGTTTCTAATTAGCCTTTTCAAAGGAAGCAATGAGATATTCATTTACCCCAGTGAGCTAGTGAGCTTTGAATAGAACCGGAGGCAAATTTACCCTAAGCACTTCCCAGCTTAACTTTTCCCTTTAGCTTAGTGATTTTGGGGTCCCAAGATTTATTTTCCTTTCACAAAACACATGACTAAAATAGAAGATAAATATACATACTTGGCCCAGTGCAGTGGCTCACACCTGTAATCCCAGCACTTTGGAAGTCTGAGGCAGGCGGATCACAAGATCAGGAGATCAAGAACATCTTGACCAACATGGTGAAACGCCATCTCTACTAAAAACACAAAAATTAGCTGGGAGTGGTGGCACTCGCCTATAGTCCCAGCTACTCTGGAGGCTGAGGCAGGAGAATTGCTTGAAGCTGGGAGGCAGAGGTTGCAGTGAGCCAAGTGTCACTGCACTCCAGCCTGGGCAACAACAGCGAAACTCCCCCTCAAAAAAATAAAAAAAAAAAAAAATATATATATATGTATGTATGTATGTACCCTCTGATGGAAGAGAAAAGCAGCCCAGAGAGATTGGCAATGAAAACAGATGGGTGAAAGAGCAAGTACCTTGTGGGTTGTCAGCAGGATAAGTAATTAAAAGATAAAGCAGTTAAGCCAGGCCTCGGCTTCATCTGACATTTGCGCTTAGGATAATGTCTTATACACAAATCTCCAACCCAGAAACTCTAACAAAGAAGGTCCCCAAAGTGGGATCTATGATTAGAGAAGTGGGGCTATGCCTTGGATGCCTTCCGGCTTCCAGGCAACACACAGAGATCACATTCAAATCTGATAATCATCCACTTACATACATGAAAGAATTCGACCTCACCTCCCTCGCTTTATTAAAAAAAAAACTAAACTAAATTAAATGAAGGCTTTTATAATCTAAATCTGCATTTATTGCCAAGAGAACATGAAATTTTCCTTGGGCAGAAGAACGCCTCCCCAGCGGCCAACATCATTCCATTTACATTTTATCAATTATTATGAATTGTGACCAATAAATTCCATACATTTGAATGAATTTAACTATATGAAAAAGAATTTCAAAGTACCATAAACAAATCATTGTGTAAGGAAACAGTTAATAAATCAAGGAAACTTACTAAACTATAACATCAATAAAAAAGAGCAGGCTGCTAAGGAAATGAAACCACCCAAACTCTCAAACACAAAATTTTAAAGCCATGATTGCCCAACTAAAAGCTAAAATTGAATAGATTGGTGGTATGCAAAAAAAAAAAAAAGGTATCAATGAATACTAAAAACTGAACTGGGATACCCAGCTGAGGAATTCTCTCATAACTGGTGAAAAAATATCAAACATGGGGTGATGGGAAAGTTAAGACACATAACAGGTGTAACCAGAAAATCCAATGTCTGTTTAGTAAATGTTTCAAAAAGAATAAAAGAGGCTGGGCACCGTGGCTCATGCCTGTAATCTCGGCACTTTGGGAGGCGGAGACAGGCAGAGCCCATTAGTTCAAATCCAGCCTGGGCAACATGATGAAACCTTGCCTCTACTGAAAACACAAAAAAATTAGCCCAGTGTGGTGGTACATACCTGTAATTCCAGCTACTTGGGAGGCTGAGGCACAAGAATGGCTCGAACCTGGGAGATGGAGGCTGCATTGAGCTGAGATTACACCACTGCACTCCAGCCTGGGTGGCAGAGCAAGTCTCTGTTTTTAAATAAATAAATAAAGGAATTATCAAATGCATAATAAAGAAAAATTTTTCAGAGCTACAGAAAGAGCTGATTAGGTAATTAGCAGGTAAATCAAATTTATTCAACACATTTTTATTGACCTTCTGCGTGTCAGGCACTATTTTATATGCAATGATAAGAAATACAAGCATCACATCTAAATATATCCTAAAGATACTACCTGAATTCCAGATACTAAAAGAAGATGTTAATGCTTCTGCTTTTGTCCATGGAAGAGTAACTGGTACTGGGCTAGTTTTCCTACTGTGAATAGCTATAAAAGTAAACAAAATATGGAAGCCAACAGTCAGACAGTGGAAAACGGGCAGCATGAGCCTGTGATTCATGAAAGAAGGGAAACACCTAGGTAAGTCCTGTGATTATATAGCTCTGTACTTGGGGAAAATTTCTCCAGTGTGACGCAGGGCACAGGAGCTTGGTGTGGTGGAGGTGGCCTGTAATTCCAGCTACTGGGGAGGCTAAGGCAGGAGAATTGCTTGAACCTGGGAGGTGAAGTTGCAGTGAGCAGAGATCTTGCGACTGCATTCCAGCCTAGGCAATAGAGTGAGACTCTGTCTCAAAAATAAATAAATAAGGCCGGGCACAGTGGCTCAAGCCTGTAATCCCAGCACTTTGGGAGGCCGAGGCGGGTGGATCACGAGGTCAAGAGATCGAGACCATCCTGGTCAACATGGTGAAACCCCGTCTCTACTAAAAATACAAAAAATTAGCTGGACATGGTGGCACGTGCCTGTAATCCCTGCTACTCAGGAGGCTGAGGCAGGAGAATTGCCTGAACCCAGGAGGCAGAGGTTGCGGTGAGCCGAGATTGCACCATTGCACTCCAGCTGGGTAACAAGAGCGAAACTCCGTCTCTAAATAAATAAATAAATAACACTATAAACCATGGTGACCTGGTTATTTACATAACAACACACCCCAAACTGCAGGATACACACTGTTTTCAAGGGTATATGAAACATTCACCAAGGCTGAATATATACTGTGCATTAAAGTCTGATTACATTTAAAGTGTGAATTTATTTACTATAAATAAATATATTCCAAAGGACATGATATTACTCAGGGAACTTTGTGGCATTTATCTCTTTCATCTTTTCCCTTTCTTGGTATTTTTACGTATGGTATAAACTTTACCATCTTCATAGTTTTTCAGTACACATATAAGTGGCATTAAGTACATTCATGATTTTGTGCGACCATCATCACCGTCTATCTTCAGAACACTCTTCATCTTGTAAAATTAAAACTCTGTGTTTATTAAAAACATGAAACCATGAAGTCATTAAACAACAATTCCCCATTCTTTCTTCACTGCAGCCCCTGGCAACCACCAACCTGCAGCCTGTCTCTATGAATTAGACTATTTGATATAAGTGGAATTAGACAATATTTGTCCATTTATGACTGGCTGATTTCACAGAGGTTAAATAATATTCCATTGCATGTATGTATCACATTTTACCCATTTTTAAATCAGATTACTTTTGTTTACGTTTTAGTTGTAGGAGTTATTTATATATTCTAGATATTAACCCCTTATCTGATATATGATTTGTAAATACTAGGTTAGTGCAAAAGTAACCGTCATTTCTGCCACCAAAATAATGAAAAAATTTGTTTGGAGATATTACATCTGGCATCTGATATTCTTGGATTTTGAGACGGCTAGAGCCTTGTCCTGGTGACTTACAAGCTGTATAACTTTGAGTCAGTCGTGCTACTGCTCTGTGTAGCATCGTTTCTTTATCTCCCTCATCTCCATCTTCATCTCTGGCTCACAGAGATTTTTAAAAATGAGAATTAAGTTATAGTGAATGAGGAAATGTATATAATGTGACTAGCACAGTGTCTGATATGGCATATTAGAAGCAATTTTAAAAATAAAATAAAAATAAAAAAGTGATGGCAAGGCCGGGCATGGTGGCTTATATCTGTAATCCCAGCACTTTGGGAAGGCAAGGCAGGCAGATCACTTGAGGTCTGTAGTTTGTGGCCAGCCTGAACAATATGGAGAAACCCCTTCTCTACTAAAAGTACAAAATTAGCCAGGCACAATGGTAGTGCCCATAATCCCATCTACTCAGGAGGCTGAAGCAGGAGAATCGCTTGAACCTGGGAGGCAGAGGTTATGGTGAGCTGAGTTGTGTAATAATATGCAAGTCAAAGAGGTTTCAAAAACTTTTAAAAACATTTTGAACTAAATGAAACATGGACACAGAGAGGGGAGTACTAAACACTGGGGTCTATAGGGGGAAAAGGGGAGGGCCAGTGGGAGGGGGAGGTGGGGAGGGATTGCCAGGGGAGAAATACCAAATGTGGGTGAAGGGGAGAAAGCAAACAAAACACACTGCCCTGTGTGTACCTATGCAACTGTATTGCATGCTCTGCACATGAACCCCAAAACCTAAAATGCAATAAAAAAAAAAAAGAAACTGAAAACCTGAAAACATAACAGCAAAATTTGCAAGATTCAATGAAAACAGTCCATAGAGGGAAATCTGTAATATTCAATGCAGAAATTTGAAGAGTAAAAATCTAAAATCAATAGAGTAAGGGCCCACCTTCAGAAACTAGAGAAAGAAGAGTTATTTTAGCCTAAAGCAAATAGAGAGAAAGGAATCAATAAAAGCATAATAAGGATCTCAGATTCAGAGGTTAGAGCACTGGTCTTAGGATGAAAGAAAAGAAATTAATGAAATAGAAATCAAGGGAATAATAGATAAAATCAACAAAGCCATATGTTGGTCATTGCACTCCAGCCCGGTCAAAAAGAGCAAAACTCTTCCTGGAAAAAAAAAAAGCAAAAACCTCAATTAGTTTTGCATCAACCTAATATATTCTCCCATGCCTTTGGATTGCCTTTTGATTGCTCGTGGCGTCCTTTTCTGTACAGAAGTGGTTTTTATTTTGATGTGGTCCAACTCATCTGCTTGTCATTTGTCTTTTGTCATCATGAGGCTTTTCTCCTATGGTTTCTTCTAAGAGTTTTATGATTATAATTCTTATGTTTAGATTCTTGATTCATTTTGAGTTAAAGGGTGGATAGGGTACAACTTCATTACACGTAGATATCTTAGTCTCTATAAATTCTAAATGGGTTGAAATCTTATTAAGTATATTCTCTCATTATAACATAACTAAATAAGAAATAAAGAGCAGCAAGATATCTAGAATATTCCTGAGATGTATGAATGATAAACAACATACTTTTAAATAATACACAAGTCAAAGGGATCTCAAAAACTTTAAAAAATATTTTGAACTAAATGAAAATACAACTTAGCAAAATTTATGAGATTCAAGGAAAATAGTCCATAAAGGGAAATCTATAATATTCAATGCACAAATTCAAAAAGAACAAAGATCTGAAATCAATAGATTAATTTTCCACCTTCAGAAACTACAGAAAGAAGAGTTATTTAAGCCTAAAGCGAGTAGATAGAAAGGAATCATTTAAAAGCATAATGAGGCTCTCAGGTTCAGAGGTTAGAGCACTGGTCTTATGATGATAGAACAGAAATTAATAAAATAGAAATCAAGGGAATACTACATAAAATCAACTAAGCCACATGTTGGCTTTTTAAAAATTTGAATAAAGTTGATATAAACTTGTAGCCAGGCTAACCAGAAAGACAGAGAGAGAAGATACAAATTACTAATATCAGAAATGAAAGAGCAGCATCACTACTGATCACATGAATATTAAAAGCAGAGTAAAGGTATTTTACAAACAACTCCATGATCACACATTTGATAGATGAAACGGACTAATGACTTCAAAGACACAGTCTACCAAAACAAGGAAAATAGATAATTTGTATAGTCAAGGTAGTTTCCCTGGTGAATTCTACCAAACATTTGAAGAAGAAATTATGCCAAATTTTCACAACCCATTCCAGCAAATAGAAGAAACACTTCCCAACTCATTTCATCACCCCAATACATTAAAGATCTCAAAGAAAGGAAAACTAAAGATGAATAAACAGACACAAAATTCTCTACAAAATATTAGTAAATTGAGTCAAATAATGTGTACAAAGGATTATGCTTCTTATAGGATATTAGGCAAAAAATGAGGAATCAGACTAAAGTGTGAACTTTAATAATAATGTATCAATATTGGTACATTAGTGAACAGTGCACACTGTGACAAATGTTTTACGTATTATGCTAATGAAAGGTGTTAACAGAGGAACTTGATGCAGGTGTAAGAGTTCTCATAAATAAATAGTTTTAGATTTATAGTATAATTATAAATTAAATAATAAATTATACTATAAATCTAAAACTACATACTGCTTGGGTGGCAAGTGCACCAAAATCTCACAAATCACCACTAAAGAACTTACTCATGTAACCAAATACCACCTGTAGCCCAATGCCCTAGGGCAAAAAATAATCAACTAATTAAAAAATAAAAATATCAACAGAACTGAGGAAGACCTAGTTAGGACTAATCAAGAAAAAAGAGGGAGAAAACTAATTAACAGAATCAGGAGAGAAAGAGAGGTTTTTGTCATGGATTCTAGACACATTAAAAGAATAATAAAGGAATATTAGTAAATAAATTTTCTATTAAAAATGTGTTCACAAACAAGATGAAAAGCCAAGGTGATTTCACTGATGAAGTCTATAGAACACTCATGGGAGAAATCATACTAAACGTAAGCTCTTTCAGAAACTAGAGAAGATGGGTCCACCTCCCATGTTTCATGAGGCCAGCATAATGCCACTATTTAAACTAGACAAAAATTACATTTGATGTGTAATTTTGATTTCCCAAATCAAAATTACACATCAAATGTACTCAGGAACAAACATGCAAATATTCTTAAAAATATCACTACATCAAACTCATGTATATGACAACATATCCTAATCGCAACAAATTAAAAGAAAATTATAAAACATTGGTAAGAAAGGAGAAAAATGTTTACATAATAAGAAATC